TGTACGCAAAGAGGATGTTGTAATTTTTCAATGCAGAGCACACAATGGCTTTGACTGTTGGCTGCAGCAGGAGTCAACATTTGGAGAGAAAAAAACACCCAACCAAGTATGTAGCCAAATACTTTCATTGGATGAGGACCCTGGGAAGAGAAACAGTTCACAAGAGATGCTGGTATTTAATAGCTTTATCTACATTTGCAAGTTGAACAATGGACAGCATAAATGGCCTCCTCCACTTCCTCAATAAATGTACAACTTAATGGGGGCGTACTTTCCTATCAACTCTCACTGGTCTTCTGCGAGTGGCAGATTCTTCCATGAACAGCAAGGGTACCTTTGATGCTAACTCATTTTCCTTTAGGAAATAATGGCTCAATTTATATTCTATCAAAACACTTGAAGCCATTTGTACTAGCAACATAAGTAAACAACACTCAATAGGATCTCGAATTTTAGCCACAACCTTCACTTTACTGTATAAACAGAGTCTAGGGTGACTAAAGAACCAGTTCACTTAGGAGGTTTGCAACTCAAAAGTGCAGTCACAGCAGGCTTTTTAAATGCAGAGCAACAATGCAGATGCTAAAGAGACTGCCCCACTCTCACCTCAATATGTCCCCTTTCATAATAGATCAAAAGGGGCACAGCCAGGTGAGAAACAAGCAACCCTACTATAAAGTCCCACTGGTTTCTTGACGAAAACAAATACCCAGTTTAATTAGTCTTATTTCAAGGAACAGCAATAGCCACACTAAGCATTAATATGACTCTATAGAGTATTTAGAGAGCTTATTAGTATAGTAACCTTTCTATATTGCTGAGGGGGGGGGGCACTAAGAGTGTCTTGTGTAAGTCCGAGATGAGATTTGAATCAGGGACTTTCCAACTCACATTCTTAACTGCTACTCTACATACCTCTGAGTCAAGAGGCAGGAAACTATTACTCCAACAGCGTAAAGAGGCTGCAGTTACAGAACAAAGGGTCAAGTGACTTCTGCCAAGTGGCAATACTCTCTCCTTTAGGAGAGGGCTGGAGCTTTGAGAGAGCTTTGAGAGCTGCCACACATAAAAGAAAAAGCTCCAAAAGGCAACACAGCACTGGAAGGAAGGGAAATACACACAAGTGTCCAGCCTACCATCTCAGTGTAAGGCAGGTCCTGGAAGTTTGGGTCCTGGGGATATATGTGAAGAGGAGAAACTGGATCAGCAACTCAATGTGGAACTGGAACCAACAGATGCTCACATTACTCTCTCACAAATGTAGGATTGTCTTGGGATTTAGTACTAAAAAAGTGAAGGCAAATGTAGAGACTTTGAGGAACAGGGCCTACCATCTCACTGCTGGAGGCCAGAGAATGAAGATCCTTGGAGCATATGGGAACAAAAATGGCAACAAGGTTAGCTCCATGATAAACTCTCTTAGAAAGATCTGCTTAAATACAGAAAGAGTTCAAAGTGTTTGGCTGCACTAAGGACAAGCTTACATTAATACATGAATGTTTGTGCAAGTCTTGGCCTTTATCCTCAGGAGGACCATGAAACAGCTTCATGTACTGATGCCAAGCCTTCTATGGCGTTCACATGGACCAGTTAAACAGGTGCTGAAGGTGTTTAAATACTAAACTGCAACAGAACTCCTTTGCCTTAGAAACAAAAGCACTCAGGGAACAGAATGACAGAAAGCAAAACAAAGAAGACGACAATGAGGTACAAGGCACACAAAGGTATAAAGGAGGCGTGTTCATCATGTGCTTTCAGAAATGCCAGTGTCCTTCCATTGTTATACACCATGTGGGCAACTTTGCAATGGAAACTTGGAATTCATCTTTTTGGTAATGTGTGAAATGGGCCAGAGTCTGGTATATTGCTCTGGAGTAGCACTTTACAACTGAATAATCAACTTTGTTACTTAACATTTTATAATAAAGCCAAGCTACTACAGTATGCAAATCCAAACCACTTATCCACCAATCCTGCAGTGACACAGCAAGGTCTGTTTGGTTTAAGTCACTGAGTGTCTTGTCTAATTAGCATAACACTAAGACCCCAATCAGCACCTAATTTTCTTGAAGCAAGTCAATGGCCACCTCTTAAAAAGACTTACCAACAAATCTGTGACTAGAATGATATTTTCTCCACACCTATTTCATCTTCAGGTTACCAACTAGATGGCCTCTTAAGAACTGGTTTTGGCCTTTGGCCACCAGCCACTTCTGTGATAGCCTAATATGCAAATTGCAAATGCTTTGAAGAACGTTAAAAACAGCAAATCCAAAATATTGTAAAATTAATTTACTAACATAGAAGTAAAACAAGAACTCTACAAGTATATTGTGTGACTAACACTTTTATTACTAACATATAGCTTAACACGGAAAGGATCTCCTTCTCTTGGGTTTTTAGTTAGTGTGGGTATCATTCCTTTATCCCTAGTTGTAGTCCCTCCCTATATTTTCCGTTGTAGTTCAGTAGTCTTATGAAAAATAATAAAATTTCCCCCTTGGGGGTTTAAAAAAACACACCAAACTTTGTAAAATTAAAAGGTCACATTAAAATAGAATTTTATGGCACCTTATTTTTATTTAAGTGGACTGAAAATTTGACTAGGATTAAAGTTTCAGTCTCCTAATGCCTATAGTAATGATGCAAGATACTGGGTTGGATCCTATGACCAGGCACACTTGTACAAGCTAAGTCTCTGCCATGGTTTGCACTTCCTCTTCTAAAACGTCTGTTCGCCCATGACCAATAGTTTTCAATGGGCCCCTATTCAAACAGATGCCTTAGTGGAAGAGGAAGGGTGCTCCAAGGCAGAGACTATGTAGCATGCATGTGAACTGGTTGAAGGAACCATGCTTAAAGTCAAGAAATTCCCAAGGTTTAAGCCTGCCCCCTGGAACTCAGCCAAATATGACATCCAAATTTCTCTAATGCACTTTATGTAAACATCCATCTACAGATTACTCTTTATGTATGCAATAAAAGCAATAAACACAAAAAAGAGAAGAGAAGAAACAAAACAAAGTAGGATTACAGTCAGTATTCCCTCTAAGCTGAGTTAGTGTGAGCTAGCTCACAGTTTTTTAGCCTCCGGCTCACACATTTTTGTCTCAGCTCAGGAAGGATGGCTCCAGAGCAAACTAATTTATGCAGTAGCCAAATCGCTTGCTCACAACTTTAATGCCAGTAGCTCACAAAGTAGAATTTTTGCTCACAAGACTCTACAGCTTAGAGGGAACATTGATTACAGTGCTGTTATATTTTAGGTTCCTGATCAAAGTCTTTGCACTAGTGTAGTATTACAGGGCAAGATAGGGCACATTGTGTATTTTTTCCAGCTTTGTACTGGAAAAATAAGAGAGGGACCTCATAACTACACCAGTTCTAGAGCAGCCTAATACAAACAGCAGCCATTCCAGGGTGCTGGCCAATACTGACAATAACACTGCAAAGAACTGGCAATCCTGCATTGATTGTTGTTACAACCACTGCTTTTGTTTCTAATGCTCTCCAAAATTCACAACTGTTTTTGATTTGACTTGATTTCTTTTTAATTCCCAAACTATTGTTTGAAGATTTTATTTAGGATACAGCACCTGACTAGATACCACATTCTAAAACCTAATGTGACCTAACGTGTCACTCAAATAATTTTTTTAAAAGAACTCATGCAAGGTGAATCTATCTGATTTGGAATTTTTCACAAGCCATTGCTAAACCTTGTTTGAATTATACTAAGAAATGGAGACAGAGATACAAAACTAACATCCCCTGAATCTGAAAAACAAAGTGCCAAAGTGCTATATTTCACGTGAACAGAGAGCAACAGCCATGTACAACTCTGAAAGGACTTAAAGAGTACTGAAGATGTCATTTTATTACAGTGGGATCCATGAATATTTAGAGTGCAATCTCATATAGTTATTCCAGTACAAGTCTACTGGGTTTCAATGGGAATACTTTGCATAGGATTGTTCTGTTAATCTCTCCCATGGTTTCTAGGCTCCTTATACAGGTTTTTTTTGTATTACAAAACTATAAGAATATCATACTACTACAGACCAAATAGTACACGAAACTAGGATGAAGACACTTAGCCTCAATGCTACAAGGATAGGAAAGTTCAGCAATTCCCAACATTTTGTACCCTGAACTTTGCCCCATTTTAAGTCATAAAAGACAAAAACAACCCTCCAACACTCCAAGAATTCCTTCGCCTTTCTTTGGGGTAAAAGAACACAGCAGCACTGCACAAAGAAACACACATGCATTAGGTGTAGAAAACCAATCTATAGTAAAGCAAGCCACATCACACCCTTGTTTCTTCCTTTCCCTTTTGAAGGAATATTTACCCCTTTATTTTGCCCACAGAATTCCAGAGATTGATTATTAAACTTGATGGGACTTTGAAGCTTAATTTAAGCACATATCCCTTATTGTTCCTCATTTAAGTTTAATCCTATCATGTTTACTTTAGAATGGGTGCTGCGCTCATCATCAACAGTTTGTCTTCCTGACTAAGTATAACCAGGCCTAAATAAGAATGTGCTGTACATGTATAAAATATACATAAATGCATTAGCAAAGATACCAGTAGAATTTTATTTTCTGAATTGTTCAAGGGATGAAGGGCCTTACACCATATTGCTATCAAATCACTACTGACTTACAGCAACCCCAGCAAGGGGCTTTCAAGGCAAGTGAAAAGCAGAGGTGGTTTGCCATTGCCTTCCTCTGCAAAGCCTTCCTTGGTGGCCTCCCTTCCAAGTATGAGCCCTGCTTAGCTTCCGAGATCAAGCTACACCAAGCTGCTTTCCCTCCCACAAAGGGCCTTAGTTACGTGACTTCTATATACTGTACCAGAGATTGTGTTACCTTAAAATCTTGAATGCCAGCCTCCAAGTTGGCACACCCTAGTTTAGTCCTTATATGTCACTCAGAGAAACAGGAGAGGAAACAACAGAAAGAAAGCAGGCAAGCAAGCAACAGAAAGCACTTACCTGGGCTGTTTTCCCCTGCAAGATACAGGCAAAAAGTAGCTTAAATCAAGCAAAACTAAGGAAGCCTTGTAGTAAAACAAGTCTCAGCAATATCACTGGTTAACAAAAACAGAGGACAGAAGGCTGAAAGCAGCCAGAAGTCATGCCTTCTGAACAGAAACCTCTCTAACAGCAATTGCGAACTATATGAAGGCAATCTACCCATGCTCAAAGATACTTTCGTCTTAAATATGTGCTGTAAAGGCAAGGCACAGACCCTTACCAGACTGCAAGGCTATTGTCTGATGAGCAATGCCTACTTTTACGGAGTGACAGGCGCAACCTGCTAGCATGCATCACAATACAGTCGCCAGCCAGTGCATAGGAGGGGTAATATCTGTCTTGCACAAGGTGCATGGAAAGCGAATGCTGGGAAAGAGCCAGCATGGAATGGGTTGCCAACTCCAGGCTGGGACATGCTTGGAGATTTGGGGGTGGACCCTGGGGAGGGCAGGGACCTCAGAAGAGATGGGATGCCAGAGAGCCTGCCTTCCAAAGCCACCATTTTCTCCAGTCTTTCTCTGTAGTTTAGAGATCCACTGTTCATCTGGGAGATCACCAGGCTCCACCTAGAGGTTGGCGACCCGAGATACAATCCACTCTGAGAATTAATTCTGGGCTTTCTAGCCACATGTCCATACTGAGGGGGATTCAAAGGAGGGCTTCTGAACTACTGATCCCCACAGCTGAGGCTTATGTTTTGCTGCAGATTATACTGGCCCCTATGAGCTCTGCAGGGAGCACAGATGACGTTTCGAAAGAGGGAGTGGAACATATTTGAGTGCCAGAACCAATGCTCCCTCTAAGCTGTGGAGTCCTGTGAGCAAAAATTCTGCTTTGTGAGCTCCTGGCATTAAAGTTGTGAGCGAGTGAGTTGGCTACTGCGTAAATTAGTTTGCTCTGGAGCCACCCTTCCTGAGCTAAGGCAAAAATGTGTGAGCCGGAGGCTAAAAAACTGTGAGCTAGCTCACACTAACTCAGCTTAGAGGGAACACTGGCCAGAACCCATACTTGGCATGCATAAGGCCTGAGGTTCCATCAAGAATTCAGGTCAGGTAAAGACCTGGAAATCAGCTGCCAGTCAAGCACTGGTTGAGAGGCAGAGGAAAATGCTGTCTAAGGCAAAATCTGTCCATGGGACCAAAAGTACACTGGCTATAGTGTCAAAGCAGAAAGAAAGAAAGCGCAGCAAGATCTGAGCGGGCTATTTTGACTTTCATGGGTGGTAGTTCGGTGAGAGGCACTCAAAACAAAGCTGACATCTTGCCTGCCACAAAGACACCAAATCACATGCACAGTGACCCGGCAAAGGAGCACTGAACAGAGAAGAACTCTCTTCACAGGCTGTCATAACCACTCAGCCATGCAGAGGCAAAACAGGGGGCGGGGAGAGGGCTTGGAAACATCCATAGGCATATTTAGAGAAGGGAGCAGAATAAGCAATGATAACTGGGCTGGAACTCTTTAACTGCATTGCTGAACAAAGGGATGCAGGAAAAACAGGAGATATACTATTGAAATGGACTGGGTATTTTTTAACTGAGGAAAAGAAGTATGTGGTGTGGAAGTCATTATAAAGACATTTTGGTCCTGCTCACCTTCCCAACAGCCAGAAGGTTAAAATCTGATATGGATGCATCTTTATGCTAAAGATAAACCTCAGGGGTTCGATGCCGAACAATCAATGTTTGATACAGTTTTATTCTATACATGGCATATAATGCCAGAGAAATTAGCCAGAATGTACCCTGATATGTCTGACACATGCTGGAAATGTCAGATACGGGTGGGAAGCTTTTTTCATGTTTGGTGGAAGTGTAAAGAGGTGATGTTATATTGGAGTAGGGTACATAAAATGTTACAAAAAATATGTTTGATACCACTGCCATTCAAACCTGAAGCGTTTTTGCTTAATACTATGCCTGATGTAACAGATAAGAAAGTTAATCACTTAATTATACATATAGTTAAGAATTCTTTATGCTAAGTACTGGAAGAAATCAGAGATATCAACGGAAAATGAACTTTTGACCAAAAATTTTGAAATAGAAATTGATATATTGTCAGACTTGTTAAAAGACCGAAGTAACAAAAAGTGAGAGATAATTGGATACCATTTTATAACTGGGTGGAAAGAAACTTTGAGGACCATGAACCATAAATATAACTATTATAAACTTGAAGAAACTCTAACTTGAACTGTATAGAACTTGACTGTTTTCAGGAATCATTATAGAAGTTTTTTGGCAATTTGATTAAGCATCACTAGCTTTAGTAAATATATAAACGAAAGAGATCTGGAAACAAAGAATTAAGATGGAAAATTTGTAACAGCTATTATATAAACTGGATGGAACTTCCCTTTATGTCTTATCCCATCTCTTGTATCCTTCCTACCCTATTATGTGTTAAAACCAGATAAAAATTTATGGAAAAAAAGAAAGAAATTAAGAAGTAAGGTTTTTGTGCTCAAAGTGCACAACAATCTTTCCTAAACCGAAGCAAAATTACTTCTTTTAAGCTAGTATATTTATCTTAACTCGATAACACTGGCATTCACACCACATCTCATATGTGGCTGGAACAGAAACAGCAAGTCGGTTTTGTGGCACTAATGCAGAGCAAACAACTAGAAGGGGCAACACCTAAGTGAACGTTTGGAAAATTCAGCAAAAATATCCTGTGTAACTTTCAGTGCTACCTAGATCTATAGCCAGCCAAAGCAGCAGCCCCCGAACAGTATTCTTTCAAGGAAGTGTAATGCTTGCATATATTAGTGACACTGAGCCGTTTACTGTAAAAATCCATGTTTCCAAACAACCAAACTTTCAGCTGGCATCAAATGCAGATCTATCCAACCCCATCTGGAGAGATCAGATGTTACAGTAGCTTCTCTTCATGGATCCATGCTGAGGGAACCCTTGGCCCACATTTCCCTATCCCATCACATTCATTCCTGTTCGCCATCATTTTACAGGTAGCAGCTTTTGCCTCTCCACCTTGGTCTATACTCATTGCACCTGTGGGTGAAACCTCTTCACTTCAGCTCATACTCTTCACTTTGAATATGGGGAGGGCAGATCCTGATCATTCTCATCCTTTCCTACCTGCTCCCTTTCCACCAGGACTCACTTTTATGGCAACACAATGTCCCTCCCTGTCTCCCAGATAGTGCTTGCCACAAATTTGTGTGTCTGCGTTTCCGTACTTATAAGTTGCCCCTGGAAATACCAGAAGGTCATTTCTGACTGACTGCTTGCAGGGTTCTTCACCTTTGCCATATCTCCAAAAGATGCTAACATCCCTAAGGCTTAAGGCAGCATAAATGAGAAAGCCGGCTGGCCCATGTTCGCTGCAAAGCCATCAACTGATCTGAACGTCAACGGGAAGTGTGAGGAAGGTCCTAAAGCTCAAATCTGGCAGTTGGAAAATCGTTTAGGTACATCTTTATTTTAAAGCAGCATGAAGGAAAAAGGAAAACAGCATTCGGAAGACTACAACAGAAAAGACAGAGAGTACCAAATGAGTTCTGTACAGTGCTGAGCCCCCTACTCCCAGGTTATATTAAACCCCAATCTAATATGGGCAGACCTCCAAGACATAACAGTCCCAATAGAAAACTGCAAGTGGAACAAGCACTACTAGTGGTCATGTGCACAAGCATCCCAGTGTCCCGCCTCTCACCTCATTGATTCGGATCTGCTGAAGCTCTTGTTCCGCTGCAGTCAGAGGAGCTGGGGCAGAACAGGATGACACGTGCTTCTGGTAGCCACTGAGGGAGATGTCTTCCTGCAGTCAAACAGAAGAACTGGTGTAACAGTGGCAGCTACTGTACAACAAAAGATCCATTACCTTGCATGTTTATAGCACCTCCCTTTAAGAATAGTGTATAGGGAGAAAGGGAACACTTCAGATGCTATGTAAATCAATGGCTGCACCCTACACCTTCTGGTAATGTCCAAAGTTGGCTCTGCTATGTTAAGACCCTAAGCAGTGATGCCATCCTACAATGTAGCAGCAAGACCCCTTCACAAACACTGGCAGTACAAACGGCTAAAAGGGAATCACACTTTGGGGGTGGGGATGAGTTAATTCTGAAAAGAGTAGCTTAATGCAATGACCAAACAAATGGAAAGCCAGTGTTACAAAGGTCCAGAACTTCTGAGAGCAAGGGTCATTTCCATTCAGGAGGTGCTAGAATCACAAGCTCTAGGTCAAAGAGGCATCTTAAAAGACTGCATGCACCCAGGCTAGTCAACATAAAACATCCTGTCATCAATGCTACTTTGATAGGCCACGAATGAAAACCCAACAGTATCTGAACAGCCCCTTGTTATTGCAGCCCACTACAATGCCATTCCACATTTCTAAGCTTGTTTCTAAGGGCGATTCTGCGTCTAGCATTTGCTCCACATTTTCTCAACTGGGAGGAAAAAGTGCAGCTCAAAACGGACATTCAAATACCTCGGGGCAATGCCATACTGATGGCCATAAAATAGCCATAAATCCATGCAGAAGGTTCACTAAAACCCCACAATAAAAAATTTCGAAAGTGGCATGGAGTGTGGAAGCGACCATAAAACCTGATAATCAAAGGAAGTGAAACCAGCATGCAATGCAGAGGGGAATTGTGGGTTTCATAAAACAATGGAGGGAAAAGTCAACACAGAATCAGCCTAAGCTTCTACTTAGTACAGCTGTCTTGGTTTCCTGACCTTTGCACTATAAATCTACTTCTGACAGCCCTAGCAGCTGGCCAGCCAGGTTCCCTGCTTCCTAGGGGGCTTCAGGAAGTGTAAACAAGGGCACAGTTCCTCCCGCCCCCTCCAGGACTGACATCCATGGGAACTTGTTCCAGACTAAGGCCAGTATTGTTGCCAGAGACCTCAAGGCACACCAGCACTCAGCCTCCTGCAGAGACGGAAAGGTGTAGCCAGTGACACTGCTGTGGTCAAAGAGCTACAATTTTAACTCAGACTTCTTGTGACTTTTAACACAGATGGCTGCCCATCTTGATCTAAGGTTAGCAAAGTGTGAGAAAGAACTATGGTTTAGGGTCTTTGCTACTTTCTATTATATCAGAGCTGAACTGCTCTGTGATAAGAAGGAATAGCAGATGTCAGCCTTACATAACATACAGTCTGCATGCTATGTAAGCGCAGTCATCATTAATTAAGGACACACTTAAAGTGGCACTTGAGATTGGCTCCATTAGGCAATATGTGCAACAATTAAAAAAAGCAACAGGCTGAGAGCCCCAACAGGTTCCAACAACTATCTTCTATCTACACTAGATGATGCCTATTTGGTACCTGAAGCCATTCAGATCCGAAGCGTTTAGTGAATCAGCAGCTGAATTCCTCCACCCCAAGTGGACTGCAGGAATCAGCTGGGCAGATACACATTTTCTGCTCTGTTTCTGGAGATGCAGGGACCAGACAAGCTTGCACACAAAGTATTAACTGCTTCAGAAATCAGAATCCCCAAACATAAGAACACTGACGTGAATTCACACTGGGCTACACAGACAGTACTTAATGTCAGACATTCTGGCACATGACCCAAAAACAAACATACCGGGTGGATTTCACAGGCACATCAAAGTTGTCGACCAATGGGCAAAAGGACAAGATTTATAGCATGGCCCTATTTCATGAGCAATGCTGCCACCTTATGGTTCTTTCCATGATAACAATTACCTAGACATTTTATAATTTGTTGATGACAAAACAGGGATTGATGCTGCATGATATGTCAAATGGCCCATACCTAACCAAGATTTAAATGAGTGTGGAATCCAGGGTAGGTTGTCATTATTCTGTCATATTTACACCTGGACAGGTATTATACCTGGTTAGCAACAAAACAGGGGTGCCTGGATCCAATGGGAAGCCCAAGTACCTCTCAAGTTTTCTATGTAACAAAGGGTTTTTTTTCCAGTCACTGCATTCCCTCCTCTACAACATTACATTCAATAAGTCTAATAAGTAGTACTGAGAAGTAACAAGGCTCATTATCAGGTCCCAAGTTTTGAATAAACTAAGGCTCAAGGGCAATATTAAACAAAGAAAAAGTTTATTCAGAAGGCATAAAACAAGGCATATGAGAAAACTAGCACATTCATAGCCCATGAGCTGCCAGTATTTCCTTTGCCAGTTTTGCACAAAGAAATAGCACCGGGCACATGGAAGTTCCATTTCAGTGACAATTCATAGAGATTCTCCCTCAATTACAGAGCAGAAACCATAAGAACTCCCATAGCAGGTAGAACTGAATTCACCCATGGATGTAAAAATAATGGGCAAAGCTGAAAATCCCAATAACATTGCTGGAGGATAGACACACCTTTTAGATAGTTCAGCCTTATGGAAATGAAAACTAATCAAAGGAAGAAAATGAATCAGAATGTCCACTGGATGAGGGATCTTCAATAGCTTTTTATTGAAAAAGCAAAACTATACAATGGCTGCGGTCACACGGAGCATTAGGCACGCTAGAGGGACGGAAGATAGGCGGATTTTCCGGGCGCAATCTCACCGCCACATCTGGGAAGCGTCGAGCTCCCGTGGGGAACCTGAGGCTTCCCGCGGAAGTTGCACGGTAAAAAAACTAGTACCTCGGAGGTACTAGTTTCCTGAAACCGCGGGGCAAGGGTGGGCGTCTGATTGCGTTTCCGGTGGTAGTTCCGGCGCCCACCCATGTCCCCTCACAAAAAGGTGGTGTTTTTTCAAAGTCTCCACGGATGCGCACAAGCACCCAAGGGAGCATGCGCACATTTGAGTTAAAAAAAACACCCCAATCCCGTTCACCCTGTGCCCCGCTTCTTTGCCGCGCTGCAGGACTGTGGAGTGATCGGCACCTCCCCTCTGCCATGGAACCTCCACGGTAGGTCTGCTTGTGCAACCGCGCGTTTTTTTAGCCCCGGGGCAAACAGCCACGCCCCCCCCCCGCATTTTCCTGCCCCTGTGACTGCAGCCCAAATTTTACAAGACACTGGCAGATAAGCCTTTCCCCCAAAGGACTGCACCTCCCAAACAGCCATACCTTAACTGTTCCAAAGAGCTCATCCTTTATGTGTCCTCCTCCAAATTCTTTCTTCACTGTTGCTCTGGTTGCTGCATAGAGCATCTTCAGTCTTACCTGGCCGTACACAGAGGGAAAATGACACAGAGACAAGCCATTTCAGAGCGATGTGAACAGATTACTGGCCATTGCCAATCTGAAGGCCAGAGTATTAATTTATTTAAAATATTTATAAGCTGCCTTATCTCATCAGACTCATGGCAGTTAACAAAGTAGCAAGGACACAAAAGTGTCATAATCACCTGGCAACAAGATAAAAAAGCAGTAAGTTGAAAACTGAGCCAAATCTGCCAAAACAGTTTCCCCTCTACCAACTGCACTCCAGAATAAAACCATCTTGCACGCTTTCCTAAATGCAGCAGGTGGAGGCATTCTTTGCGCCTTCTTTTATAGGCCCTTCCAAAAGAACCAGCCTACCATAGTAAACGCTTGTGACCTAACTGTTGCCGTACAGACAACCCAAGAAGAGGATATCACCAGAAGACTGCTATCTGAAGAGTGTAACCAGTGCTCTGGAGTATACCAGGAGATGCAGCTAGATAAGTGTTACCAACACAAAGTGGCCAAGTAATATTTTAAATTTCAAGTCTATACATTTTCTGGGATTCTTATCAGGAACAGCCTTCTTTATATAGGACCATAAGCCTCATGTGGACTCATGTGCTCCCTTCCCCTCCTCCCCTTGTGCCTTGTAACTCTGTTTCCAGGCGAGTTATAAGCCGAGCAAGCCATAATTCCCCTGGTTTCCTTTTAACAGCAAACAATGATTTTCTGAGAAAGATAGAGGGAGAGAAGCTAAGGATTCTAGGGGAAGTGAAAGACAGGAAGAAACATACATGAGTCTCATGGCATATTTCCAGTCCTATGGGTTTGGAAAGGATCTCCAATCATGGAATGCAACTTTGCCTTCCCCCACCCACTGCAGCCCCAAATTCCACCCCCAAATGCTTCTCCGGAGGGACAGGGGGCTCCCCAAAACAGCACGGTGGGGGGAGTCTGATGTCTGCAGCAGGAAGGGGGGGGAAATCAGTGAAAATTGTCCCCCTTTCTCTCAGCAGTTCTCCATAGGATCTAAACTGTGATTTACAGGATCAGGAATGTTACTTATATCTGAACAGAACCATAATCTTTAGAAGGCAATGGGCCTTCTAGACCACTGTTCTAAAATACATTCAAATAGATGCTGAAAGCCACATAGAGCATCGAAGTATAAAAAATCTGTGCAGTGGCCAATGAAACAATTAAGGTAGGGACTGAATCCAGCAGCTCCCTTTTGGGAGTGATTTTATCAAGGAACTCTTTGCAAGGTCCTGGAGATGCTGAGCAACGTTATCTGTCTCTGTCATCATTGGGTTTCCATTTTCAAGGAAATGGGATGAAATACTCCAGCTCAGAGCCAAATCCAATGAGAAAAGTTATTTTCATACATGACATCAAGCACGAGATTTGCTTTTCGTTGTGTTTGTGGCCATATACAAATGTTGCTAACGAGGACAGAAAGTTGGGAGAAGCACAGTTTAAAATTAAAATATTTTAATGTGGGTTTTATGTTCCTTTATGGACTTAGACATGCAAAATGTTTTAATGGTTTAAATTACTGTATAATAATCGTTTAGAATTGCTGTTGTAATCCGCCCTGAGCCCTGCTGTGCAGGGGAAGGTAGACTAGAAATTTAATTAAAAAAACGTTAACACATGAACATGGCCCATGTGTTCTTTAACCATATATTCTCACATTTGTATCCGTGCTTTTCCACCAAGGAACTCAGGATAGTATATACAAGGTAGTCATTTGTTTTATCCTTCCAAGAACCCTTTGAGATTGGTTAAGATGAGTGTGTATGACTGGGCCCACATTCACTCAGTGAAATTCATGGCAAGTGGGAATCCCTCCCAGTCTACCATGTTTAACAACTGTATCACCCTGGATAGCTGCCATATCATCATTTTAAGAACCCTGGGGAGTTTTATTAAGGGGCTAAGGATTGCTAGCATACACAGCGCCCCTCACACCACTGTAGTTCCCAGGATGCCTTGGGGACAGCCGGGCCAATTTTAAACTACTGGTAGTTTACATGTCGTATGTCTGTACCACTGATGCATCCTTACAGCAGTACTGAGTGGTTTCAGTAACATTTTCATTCTCAGTAAATAAAAGGAGAAAATAATTCCAGTCTGGATTTAATGGTAAGGTTGGGTAGGGGAAAGACAGCTTTCCCTAATGATGTTAATTGTTGTTGTTGTTCAGTCGCACAGTCGAGTCCGACTCTTCGCGACCCCATGGACCAGATCACGCCAGGCCTTCCTATCTTCCGCCGTCCTCTGAAGTTTGCTCAACTTCATGTTCGTTGCATCTATGACACTGTCTAACCATCTCATCCTTTGCCGTCCCCGTCTTCTTTGACCTTCAATCTTTCCCAGCATCAGGGTCTTCTCCTGTTGATGTTAATACCTGTAGTGAAACTACCTGTAGTGAAACTACCTGTAGTGAAACTACCTCTAGTGAAACTACCTGTAGTGAAACTACCTGTAGTGAAACCTGTAGTGAAACTATCATGGGGCTGTTCAATCTGCTACCCCTACAGCACTACACTGATCCAAAGCACTGCTATTTGTGAAAAGAATATGTACTGAGGATCCATTCATGGATTATCCAACATTTAACCTAGATTGACTTCAAGTCAGTGAGTGCTAAATCCAATGAATGGCCCAGGTTGGCCACTAGATGGCATGACAGGTTTAAAATAAACAGATCCTCCTATAGGTGCAAGAGTCATGTAAGATTCGTTGAGAACATATGAAGGAAACATAGGCTCAACCTCAGAGGACCTCTGTCTATAGAAATATTTCCTGTTGTTTCATTACATGTTAAATCACCAAGGGTAAGATCTCTGTTCTTTAAAAAGCTCCTGATTTGTTAGACTGCATTTATGTTTTGAAATTGGAAATAAGGCAATAGAGATAATCTTTAGCAAAAAGTCATGGGCAAGAAATAACATGGCACATTGAAAGCATCAGTCTTTAAAGTGCTGCAGGATTTTCAGTGCACTGTAGCAAAAGCAGTCAATCTAGCCTTCTGAAATCCGAACATGTTGTGATCAAATTCATTCTAGCCAATTACCTCTCCGAAAGCGTTAAATATTGAGAGTAGATCATATATTTCTCACTTTAGACCTCACTAACAAGTCCATTGATTGATGAATTCAAATATTTTGTTCATGCCCCCATTACTGATCTTTTAAAAAAGGCTAATTAAATGGCAGCAGGCATTGTAAGAAGAAGCATTCTCCCTTTTTCCCCCAGACAAGAAGAAATGGCTCTTCCAAAACAGGGACAGCTATGAGGTACCACATGTCAAAACAAACAAGAAAAGAATGACAGGTTTATTCATATGCAAATCAATGCAGATTTAATATATTTTAAACTGTAGATGATTAATTACCTAAGATTGCTTTAATCAAGTAACAGCCCAAACTCTTTTTTCCCCAAAAGAAACTGTAAGTACAGCTGATTGAATTTGAGACCAGTATAGGATGACAGGGGCCCGTGGTGGCTCAGAGGTTAAGACACTGAGCTGCAGACGGAAGGTTGGTAGTTCAGCAGTTTGAGACCCTAGTGCTGTGTGATGGAATGAGCTCCCGTCTCTGGCCCCAGCTCCTGCCAGCCTAGCAGTTCGAAAGCAAGAAACTGCAAGTATATAAATAGGTATCGCTTTGGTGGGAAGGTAATAGCAATCCGTGCGCCTCCGAGTTTAGTCATGCTGGCCACATGACCACGGAAACATCTTCAGACAGCGCTGGCTCTTCAGCTTGGAAACGGGGGATGAGCACCGCCCCCAACAGTTGGATTTGACTAGCTCTCAAGCAAGGGAAACCTTTACAAGATGACAGCCCAAACAACTGAACTAGTTTTATTGTTTTAAATTAATATTGCAAGCTATGAAGAAACACATAGAATATTATTGGATAATATAGAACACATTTATATTATTACTATTAAAATCTGTTTTAGCAATCTGAGCAAAATAGATTCAGAAGTTAACAAACAGACTTACCCATACACATTTCTCAGCCACCTAGAGAAGCTCTACGTGAACACAAACATTAACCTTTCTTATAATGACTCTCAGACCCTTGGCCTATAAAGGTCAGTATTTCCTACTCAGACTGGCAGTGGCTCCCCAGGGTTCTCCGGCACAAGTCTCTCACATCACCAGTACTTGATCCTTTGAACTGGAGACCCCGGGTTTGAGCCTGGGACTTCCTCTATGATCTCTTACAGGGCCATGGCCCCATCATGTCTCAATACTGGTCCATGAATCTTTTAAAAGATGGAAAAGAAGATGGGACTTTCCAAAACAGATGGAAAAAATTTTATGAGTGGATGGACTCACAGGCATAGAAAGTTTAATATTGATACAGCTGGAGAGGGATCTGATCTTTTTTATTTCAATGTCTATATGTATATGTATGATGGTGTTGGTGGTGGGTTGTTGAAGGAAAAACAATAAAAATAAGGAAGAAATGTCTCAATACTGGTATATCCCGAGCTGTTAAATGGAACTGTTTCTGCCCAGTACTGTCTTTTAAAAGTAAAAACATTTCAGTCTGATTTCCCTAGACTTTATAACCCTGTTCCCTTCGATTCCAGCCAGTACACCGTTCTGACATTTTCAACTGTTATTCCTTAACGTTTACTTGTTCTCTAAATTGTCTCCCAAAGTGGTTGCAAAGTTACACATTCAACCAATCGTGTCCTAGTTCTTAATTAACCAGATACCTGCATATTAATTTTAAGTAACAAATATGCATATGAAAACTCTAAAGTATGTATTTAAAAATGCTAAAAGAAGACTCAGTGAAGTCATTTAATCATATGAGCTACCTCAAAAACACTTTTTACTGAGAATGTGTGATACAAACATTTAAAATAAAAGAGCCCTCTTTTATTTTAAATGTTTGTATCACACATTCTCAGTAAAAAATGTTTTTGAGGTAGCTCATATGATTAAATGACTTCTCTGAGTTTTCTTTTAGCAAAAAGGTAGTGGATACATCTAAGTACAATCTGGCATAACAGCCACCTTGAGATTCACTGGGTGATCTTGGGCCAGTCCCTCTTCAACTTCACCTACCTGACAGGGTTTGTTGTGAAGGGCAGTAGGAAATGGGAGAGCCATGTTTGCTGCCCTTACCTCCTTGGAGGAAGAGCAGAGAAAAAGTATTACAAAGGTATCAATTTAATCAACACCACGGCTATTACAAGCCTTGAAAAGGATGGTACAGCAACTGGAACAAAGGCTGTTCTGCACAGAGCTTCCCATCCTCACCCCACACCATAGATTCAGTTACACGTGCCAGACAAAGACGAACCCAACTTGAGCAGGGTCTCTTTTACTGGAGGCAAATGAAAGGCTTACCGGGGAGTTGTCAGGTGACCAGGAGATGAAGAGCCACTCATAGCCCTGTGCATTCTGAGTGTCCAGCCGGTAGAGAATGTAACAGGGTTGCAGTTCATCCAGCAATGGCAAAACAAAGGAGTCGTAGTCCTTATCCCAACGCCGAGACAGTTCTTTGTAGGCTCCCAGCACCAGCTGCTCTGAAAGTCCGGGGGGGGGGGGGGGGAGAGAAAGGATACCAGTGAGCAAATGTGATGCCATACCGTCACATAGCATGGATCATCCTAAATTAAGTCTGGGGAACTTAAAACATGTGCAGCCCACATGCTGCAGGCAGAATTTTCAGCAGTCCAGCTTTCCTTGAAAAGAGAAAGGTCTATCTGGGCTTCATGTTCACACAGCCACATTTGAGTACTTCTTGATAATAAATAGCTTATTTCCCAGAGCTGAAACAGTTGACATTCCTCCTTTACGGATTAAAAAAAGAGCGATTGATTTTCGTTCTTTTGCAACCAGCCAACCAAAAAAACCCTGTGTCTGTGTTATACATTTAATAATATTGAGGGAATGAGAATGCACCATCACTCTGACCACAGTCCCACTCCAAACCTTTTTTAAAAAATTGTAAACAATTTTTATTATTTTTAAATACAACGCGAAATACAAAACAAACACTGAACATTCCAACTTGTCCATACATACAATATATCTTCTCACATACTATCGCGCGATTCAACAGGTTAAACTTTTGAACATTAACATTATAACAGCTCAAAAATATAACCAGTCTCAATAATGTGAATTATTAGGGATTATTTATCTGCCAGGTAATTTACCACAGGAAACCACAGAGCTTGAAATGTCTTTTGATAGTCCCCACTCCAAAACTTCACAAGCAACAATGTGTATGTGGAGTTCCCATGCAAGGGAGGGGGGATTCACCACTTACAACAGTGTCAGGAACTACAAAGACAGTGAAGATGTATACTCTGCCATTACCCAACTTTGGGAAGTAGCCTACCACATTGTTCAGCTAAAGGTGTGGTGTTGTGTCCTGCCACACAAAAGGCTCCTCTGCTGGTAGGATATACCTCATGCCAATGGAACGCAACATCCTGTGGAGCAGTAGGCTACAGACCACTGAAGTGAATGGGGAAAACTAAATTCAGGCAGGAGCTCCGTTAGATTGTCTAGGTGTACAGGAGCATCTGAATTGGGACACACAAGCTTATAAAAAGACAGGTAGAAGGGACACGGTTGAAAAATACGTCGTTTCTTCCTCCCCCCAACTATGGTACCAATCACCAGGCTGTCTTTATGCAACTGTGGAACCAGGAATGTTTCAAAATAGGGATCATCACTGCTAAGGCTTCTTTACTGGCTGGGTTAGCGTTCTGGACCATTCTGTTTAAACATACAAAATGGCGTCTGGTAATCGTCGTCGTCGTCATCATCATCATCATCAGGCAGACTGCAAGTTACAAAATGAAACCAGCTCTTCTGAAAGGAAGCCCATTGTTTCTGCCCAGAGAAAGGCCTGAACACTGACAGATTATGGTAGAAAGGAGCCCTGATACTCTGAGCTGACCTACGCATTCACAATAATCACACAGAACAGCCTTTGTTGGGTTTGTAACACTTCAGGTATGCAGAGGGAATGCTGATCTGAACTGTTCCCTCTGTAGGAAAGGAATCACAGTAAATCACATGCTTTGTATACAGGACATCTTAGGCTCAGACCCAGGTATCTCCGATTAAAAGATTTTAGATGGCAGGGCAAGAGAAAGTCCTTGGAGAGCCAGTCAGTCTCAGTAGACTGCACTGGTCTAGATGGTCTAACAGCTTTATTTGACGCAAGGCAGTTTTGTGTATTTTTTTTAATTAAAAAAAACCCTTCTGGGCTCGATTTCTACACCTGTGAGAGGGTGAGGCTAGAACCAACAGGGCTATACAATGTCATTGTTCTGCATGTTTGTATCAGTTCTTGGACAGAGCTACAACGAACATAAAAGACTGACCAATATATCCAGTGGCTGTTGTCAGGAAACCCTTGGTCACCTCCTTGACAGGATTGCATCATTTGTTTTGTTTCTACGCAGATCAGTTTTCCAAGAAGGTGAAACCCAGCTAACTCCCTCTGGAGCCCTCTTGCTCTCTTAACTCATACCCTCTCCTGCTCATAAACAAAAACAAGAAGCCAAGAAGGTCAAGGCACTTGGCCAGAAGTCACAATGCACAGCCACGTTGATTTATTAAACACATCACACACATGGCTGACTCCCTGTCAGTCTAAACAGTCCAGAACCACCCTGGCGCACTGCCTGCTTCTTTCATAACGAGACATCTCTGCCACAGATCAGTTAGGCCAGCAATAAGAGGGGAGGTGACCCAGCAATTAATAATCTGGGCGGCTCTGTGCAGTAACAAGGCTGCAGAAAGAGTCCCGGAAACTTCCACTTCCCCCCTAGGATGCAAAATACACTCTTGCCTAGCAACAATTTCCTGCTTCTGCCCTGGCTGTTGCTTATGCCACCCTGGCAGGTTTACATTTGCAGACAGAGCAAGGATTTTAACCATTTGTGAGCCTGAGTTACTTCCAACAAATTTACTGCACCATAAACTTTCACAAGCTTGAGCCCATGGCACAGAAGTTTATGCAACAATAAATGAGTTTGTCTAGTCTGTAAGGACTCTTGCTTTTGCTGTAGAAGATTGATACAGCTGCTCCACTAGAACTGGCTTTTATTCTGCTGCTAAAAAGTAAGAGATTGGGAAAAACAGGGCAACTTGTCCTGTGATGCAAAGGCCAGAACGTCATTCAGCCATCCCACTTCCCACCTAACATGACAGCTACGTTTGCTCAATCTCCCTAGTGCAACATGAGAATGCAACTATAATTGCAAAAGAGGGAAAGATTCTCTTCCTCTCTTCATTTCACCAGGCTACCAAGTTGGTTATCAACCCTAATCCCACAAAGAAGCGTCAGTGAGAGTCAGAACAGCATTATGAAAGGGAAACTGGGGGTGCACGTAGCTGCTGGAAACACAGAAAGAGCAATTATTAAGGGATTAAAGGTTTTTGTGTGCACATTTTTATTTGCGGCACATCCAGCTTCTGGCAAATCAGGTGATAAACTACAAAAGACAGTAGCAGGACTTGCCCTGATTCCCATGAACTTTAGTTTTGTTTACGGCTCCATTTTAAAAGAATTTTCTTGCATATACTCTGAACTTAATTGAGGACCTACACACTTCACTTCAGTCGAGAAAGGGTCCCACCACCACCCAGACTCTTCTCGTCATTGGGGCTTTTTGATTTTATTCTGACACAAGAACATAAGCAGTCCCGCTGAATCAGACCTGCAAACCCTCTAGTTCAAGGGTCCGGCCAGTCAGGTGCCACTGGACAGCCTGCAAACAGGGTGGGGAAGCCAAAGCCTCTTCTTCCCGCCCCCCCATGCAGAAAGTGGTTGTCTCTGAACATGGCAAGTGATCCTCACCTTTCGTCTAAAATGAAACAGTTCAGGGATAACTATATCACATGATCAATGTGTATTAGTATCTCATAGCAATATGAGGGGGCAGTCACATTTCGGTTGTGTTTCATCACATTCAAACAGCTTCGTATTCCAAAACAAATGCCATCCTTCTAGCCAGTTACTCATCTTACATTTACCGCCTCTAGTGACCCACTGAGGAAAGTAAATGTAAGATGATGAAATTTGTACTTTATTTTCTTCAAACTATGGCTAACATTGATTGACCAGTTAGATCAATTTTGCAAAAGTCAGTTGATCGGGAAAAATGCTAGCCCTGATTAACTGGGCAACACATCTTTAAACTGTTAAAATCATTTTTAATTTGAGAACGTATATAAAATTGTAAACAGCAGTTATACTAGAAGATGCTGTCATGACCAATGAACTTAGTCATAAAACTGTTGTACTGATGGTTGTTCCCAATGCCATTTGCAACTGTTATTTGCGAAATGTTCCAAGATTTTTTAAAAAGTGTCACACGACATTACTGTTGTGACATATCTAGAAAGATGGTCATCGCGTTACATTAACAGTCTTCAGGGCTGTTCCTCCAAATGGATATCATGAGGCTCCCTCAACACAATATCATTCCCAAAAATGATAACTGGAAGCCAGCCAGTGTGGTGCAATGGCTAAGAGCAGTGGACTCTAATCTGAAGAACCGGGTTTGATTTCCCCACTCCTCCATATGAAGCCTGCTGGGTGACCTTGGGCCAGTCACAGTTCTCTCTGAATTCTGTCAGCCCCACCTACGTCACAGGGCGCCTGTTGTGGGGAGAGAAAGGGAAAGGTGATTGTAAGCTGCTTTCCTTAGGGTAGAGAAAAGAAGGGTATAAAAACCAACTCTTTTTCTTCTTCTTGTTAGAACAGGTAATGCTGTTCTGACTAACGTAACTACAAGGAAGTGACTTGTGGAGAAGGGATGGAAGAAGGAGAACATGGTGTGGAAAGGACAGGAGACTGTAAGATATTAATTTAGTAGCATGCATCACTTGGAAGTGCTTGGCTTAGCACTTCGCACCTGACACAAGCACAGACTAGGCAGAGTAAATACCAACAGGCAGGAAATGCAAGCACTCTATTCTACTCTTGACTGAGGACTCTTCTTGACACTGAATTACTCAACAGTGACACCAACAATTAAGCATGAAGATCTCCCATGAAGATAGCAACTCCTGAATGATGGGCAAAATCCTGGCATCTGAGCAGGATTCAGAATCAGAAGTATTTTCTCACTCTGTTCTTCATCCTACTTCTATACTGCTCATAGGCACTTGACAGAAGGGTGGGACAACATTGAATATAATACAGGAGATGTGAATCACCCAATATACAGTAGACATGCACACCAAAGAGCCACAGTCAAGCAGCTCCTTGGGGCATTTCTAATATGTATTCCTCAACATTTGGAGATGCCCATAGCTCATTCACAAGTTATCTGGACAGGCAGAACAAACAAAATGAAAAACAACAAATAAATAATATGCACGTTTAAATCTAGCACTCTTTCAAGGAGTTCTGATCTCCAACTATCCCTTTCTACTTTTACTTTGTGTAATTTCATTTCGGATCTGTGCTACACCTAAACGTAATCAGATCCTAGCGGCAGTGACTATGAACCCGAAACTGAGTTTGGTTTTAAAAAAAATAACCCACTCGGTT